CTCTATGGGGGGGGGGTAGTTCCACCTGCTTCCACCCTCACCATAGCGCGGGTTACCTGCTCCACCCTGCACAAAGCACAGCTAAGTAGAGGGGCCCACTAGTGAAGTCCACATTTATTTGCAGAGCATTAAATATAACAAACATTTCAGGACTCCCTTTATCAATGTTAAATGCCACTACATTTGTGCTTTATTATTTGTGATTCCTTATGTGCTTGCTGATTGAGCTACAGCCATCCTGGACACAATAGCTGCACTGGATGAGACTACTTTACTATCCTGGTATTGTGCTGAACCACACTCACATACTCTTTCTTTACTTTCAACGTTTTTACTTTGTATCTTAGGAATTTCACCTTTCATTATGACTGTACACCGTGGATCTTTAAAAGTTGTATAGCCCTTCTTAAATCAGGGATTCTGTAAATGTATGTTAGAAAGTTTAAATCTGGGAATCCATAGTATAGTATGTACAATGCTAAGAGCCCTTAGAAATTGAAAAGTATAATTGTGTTAATCCCATTGAAGGAGTAATTGAGATTTTCAGAACTCCTCATCAATATTTAACCTTTGTAACATCTCATTCAACAAGTACCTTTAACATCCCCCTTGAATTCAATCAACAAGTGCCATTAGTACAAATGTTTAATGCAAGGCTTTAAGTACAGCTGCTACCTTGTCAAAACTAATATTCTCAAACAGAGAAACCCGATTAGTACAAGGCAGGTAAGGGACTTTATTTCCAGTTTGAAAGGTTTTTATCTACAGAGCAGGTCCCCAAACTCTGAATTGTAGCGAATTTAAATCTAAATGGAAATATTTAGGCAAACATAGCTTAATTTGGGCAGTTCTACAAAACTATTTTAGCCTTAATTTCACAATTTGGATTTTACTTTGATTATTTTTAACATTTTATTTTATACAATCTTGGGAAAACACCGGAATGTTTGCAGTTGCTGAGGACAATAATTACTTAAAGGACCACTCTAGGCATCCAGACCACTTCAGCTTAATGAAGTGGTCTGGGTGCCAGGTCCAGCTAGGGTTAACCCATTTTTTAATAAACATAGCAGTTTCAGAGAAACTGCTATGTTTATTAATGGGTTAAGCCTTCCCCCTAATCCACTAGTGGCTGTCTCATTGATTTTCAAAGTGAGAGCACGCCAGCGTCCATAGGAAAGCATTGCTTTCCTATGTGACCGGCTGAATGCGCGCGCAGCTCTTGCCGCGCGTGCGCATTCAGCCGACGGGGAGGAGAGAAGGAGGATCGGAGGAGGAGAGCTCTCTGCCCAACGCTGGAAAAAGGTAAGTTTAAACCCCTTTCCCCTTTCCAGAGCCGGGCGGATTTTCACAGTGAGAAGACGCAAGCGTCCATAGGAAAGCATTGGGAATGCTTTCCTATGAGACTGGCTGAATGCGCGCGGGGCTCTTACCGCACATGCGCATTCAGCCGAGGAGGAGAGCTCGCCCGGCGCTGGAAAAGAGGTATGTTTAGCCCCTTCCTCACCCTAGACCCCGGTGGGAGGGGACCCTGAGGGTGGGGGCACCCTCAGGGCACTATAGTGCCAGGAAAACGAGTGTTTTAAGGTCCTTTAAGGGCACAGTTGGTAGATATTTACATTGAGCTTTAGGCTAAAAGAAAGCTAAAATGCCATGTCTAAGGGTTTTGCAGTTTGTGCAGCAGTGCCTTTAATACTTCCAGGCTATTCCAGGTATCTACTACCCTTTCTATATCACTGTTACTGCTCCCACTGGAAGGCTATTCCAGGTATCTACTATCATTTCTTTATCACTGTTAGCCTTTACTGCTCCCACTGGAAAGCTATTCCAGGTATCTACTACCCTTTCTATATCACCGTTACCGCTTCCACTGGAAGGATATCCCAGATATCTACTACCCTTTCTATATCACTGTTACTGCTCCCACTGGAAGGCTATTCCAGGTATCTACTACCCTTTCTATATTACTGTTAACCTTTACAGCTTTCACTGGCCATACAAGGCCATACATGCTGCCTCATTACTAATTTTGATGTCCTTGAAACTTTTTTTCTTTTTAAGTTAATCAGCATTTTTGCTTAAACACAGCTAGTCCGTTAACATGGCTGTAAATGTGACTCTCCTATATTCAAGGCCAGTTGGGTGGGTGATTGTGCCCTGGATTTATCTGCATTTACTACAGGGATGAGTGGCCTTTGTCTCTTTATTGTACTGTAGAACACGTGTTTGCGTGGTGTCTGCCTGCTATACCCAGCCAGTTGGAGTAGCAGGCATTAGGGAGCAGGTTTAACCAGCATATATAATGTGTTCAGACATGTTTCAGGTGACTAATGTGCCAGAGAATTATAGTGTTGCCTTAGTTCCTGCCCCAATCTATGGGGCATATAGATCTAGGTTTGCATCCTATTGCCTGGGCCCTATGTATTGGGTGAGGTGTGTTTAATTTGAAGAGTGTACAAACTGTTTGTACTATGTTAGCTTGGTATACGTGGTCTGTGTAGATTTTAACCTTTGGTTTATATACAACCTTTACATCCATATGGACTTACTAGTTGCCTAAGTGATTTTCGTTGGGTGCCCCCTCATGACTTACTACACGAAGGACAGTACCAGAAACACAGTTAACAAGTCTATGCATTAGTATTGCAGTTCATTGCAGTATTTATTTAAACTGTATCTATTCTCTTTAGATCAAATACACACTAATAGATGAGCAGGATATCCCTCTGGTGGATAATTATTCGTTTGAGGTAAGAATGGTCTAACATACTATAATTTATTCTTTTCTGCATCTTCCTCTATAAGGTTGGGAAAAAGTAAATGATTATTTTAATAAAATAAAGGGTGTGTGTATATATCTCTATATCACGACAGCTCGCACTTGCCACATCCCGCAAAACGATGACCACCTGTATGTGTATATATATTGCGCACACACACACAGAAATCACAAATTTGCAGTGATGTTATTACCGCAAAGGATTCTGGGTGGGCATATGCGAATTAGTTTAACAAAGAATCACACTTGGGAAAAGATGCAAAACCAGTGAACCACTCATGAAACAGCTGTGTGTGTAAACGACAGAAGGGCTGCGCCACATGCAATAAAATATAATAAAAAGGTAGATAAAAATAAATTAAAAGTAAATACTGCGAGTCTTATTCCAGATGTGGAAATTGACACATATAAGATAGTCTCTTATTCAGGAGGTAGGTTCTTGGTACTTAGCGGGTCTTGTAGTCTTGGTTCTCCATATGTGGTTGAGAAGAAACACAAAGAAGACCTAATAGTGCAGTAAGCCAAGGCTAAATAGGCCTGTTATTAAATAGTAGCATTGCACTCACATTTGAAAGAGCTATCACCAGCTCTAGCATGAATCGCCTATAGTGGTATAATCACCACTATTTAGGATGTGGTGATGGTGGGTCTTGGCTGGTAGTTGTCTGGATGCTCAAAGACAAGAAATAAAAGAAAGGCCACAGATAGTGCTCTCAGTAAGACACAGTAATTAAATGAATATAAAGGTTCTACTTACAGACATAGTCAGCCTGCCTGAATAAGAGACTATCTTAAATGTGTCAATTTGCACATCTGGAATAAGACTCGCAGTATTTACTGTTAATTTATTTATAACCACCCTTTTATTATATTTTACTTCATTTTATTGCATGTGGCGCAGCTCTTATCTGTCTTTTACTTTTGTACTTTCTTGAAGGGTTAAGAGGGATCCACTTTTACTGGGTTGCTGCCTTATTGTTCGTTTTCATTGTTATCTAGCGCTGACCCATTTGTGTATTCTTGTTCTATATTATATATAATCTATCTCTGTGAATTTGGCTTAATCGTCTAGTGATCTTTACCTTGCTGCAAGTCTTAATGGAGAGCTCCAAGCCCCATGACCAATACATAATGCAGTAATGGTCCTAGGATTGCCCTGACCTCTCAGAGTAGTCAAACGGTTTAGAAATGGTTTCACCTTTTACTTGGGTCCTGCTGGGCGCATATCGTTGCCTGACTTGGTACCAGAACCACCTGCACTCTCAGCTGATGAGGGCAGCGGATTCAAAGTTGTTCCTGGCTATGTAGCAGAGCTTTTAAACAGTTTGACTGCTTACTCTGTGATGTGGCCAGAGAATGCCTGGCATTGGGCTGTAGTGATTATGGTGCTTGGAAGGTTTCCTATTAAAGGGTATGATAAGATTACATTTTGCAAACCTTGTCATGTAAGGAGACAAATTGCTTACTGCTTCTATAAATTCCCCCATACAAATACATTTATTGGATTCATAGTCAATTCAGGGTTAAAAGAACACTATAGATACTATAGCTGCTTCATCTGGTGAATGAAATGGTTATACTACCTACAGTGTCCCTTTGTTTTTAGTAGGATTTTGGATTGTTATTTAAGACGCCATGGTGTGTGTGTGTGTGTGTGTGTGTGTATATATATATATAATTCCTTCTTCATGAATCATGTCTGGCAGGTGACTTATTTTATGAACACATTGAAGTGTGCTCCAGTCAGACTGTTAGTATTTATGTCTTGGCGCTTAATCATTTAGTAATCTCCCCTGGTGGGGTTATCAGGAAAAAAAAAAAAAATGCACGTATTTGTGTTTTTGATTTAAGGAATTTATTTGCTTGATTTTTATTTTCAGGCTCGAATGGACGTTGATGCCGATGGCAACGGTGCCAAGATATTTGCATATGCATTTGACAAGTATAAAGGAAGGGGCTCTGGTCGGCTGCTGCATGAATTATTGTGGTCTGTATCAGTGTTTAAGAGCTCATTCACTCCAGCTTTGTTACGTTCTACGGGTCTCTTTTTGAGCTTGTGCAAACTCTGTTCATAATTATTTTTGAGTTTTAAATGTGTGGCTGCTGCTTATTTATTTTATTTTCCCCTTTTCTTTCTACCTTCACAAAATGAACTCGGACGGGGACATTGTGGCGTTAAAGGACCACTATAGTGCCAGGAAAACATACTCGTTTTCTTGGCACTATAGTGCCCTGAGGGTGCCCCCACCCTCAGGGTCCCACTCCCGCCCGGCTCTGGAAGGGGGAAAGGGGTTTAAACTTACCTTTTTCCAGCGCTGGGCGGGGAGCTCTCCTCCTTCTCTCCTCCTCCGATCCGCCCCGTCGGCTGAATGCGCACGCGCGGCAAGAGCTGCGCGCGCATTCAGCCGGTCACATAGGAAAGCATTCATAATGCTTTCCTATGGACGCTGGCGTGCTCTCACTGTGAAAATCACAGTGAGGAGCACGCAAGTGCCTCTAGTGTCTGTCAATGAGACAGCCACTAGAGGATTAGGGTGAAGGCTTAACCCATTAATAAACATAGCAGTTTCTCTGAAACTGCTATGTTTATAAAAAAAAATGGGTTAATCCTAGAAGGACCTGGCACCCAGACCACTTCATTAAGCTGAAGTGGTCTGGGTGCCTAGAGTGGTCCTTTAAATATGGCTTGATTGCATGGTTTCTTACCCCTGTAGTCCATTGTTGGCTAACCTTGCTAAATATTATAAATTGCTCAACTACATTTCCGGTGATGCATAGCCTGGATTAAAGGGACACTGGGTACAAAACTTCAACTGATTGAGTTTGTCAGCGCTGGGTCCCATATCATTATTACGTGGTTTACCCACTGTTTAACATAGATGCTCGGTCCCCTGCAGCCAAGCCCCCAATTTCAATATGGAGAATGTCTGCTAAACCTTCCATTATACCAGCTCCAGGGATTGTAATCAGCTGTGAGCGCTCAGCTGATACGCTCAGACTGTTACTCAGGTATGGTGTGAGGCAGAGCATAACTCCGCTGTGTCATATTGTTATTGGGGGGCCAAGTTGCAGGATGTAAGGGAACGAGCATCTGCTAAATGGTGAGTAAACAATCATTTGCAGTTGTTATTTACAATATTGTTTTTTCTTTCTTTGCCCATTTCTGCTGCCTTCTCTTGGTCATGTTTTTGACTTTTTAGATTGTTTTGAAATGTGACATCTGACCTGTATCAACAAATTGTTTTAACTATGTATATTTATATTGATGCCTCTTATAAACAATTAAAATAAATTAAAAATACAGCCTTTACTTGATGCATTCTTACGTGGATCCTGACCCTTTTTTTTTTTTTTTTTTTTTTTAGGCAGCGACACAAGGGAGGCATTGCACCAGGATTTGAAGTAATCCATTTAAATGGTATCACGGTTGATAATCGATTGGATAATCTGAAAGTGGTTCTTCGAGGAAGGAGGCCAGAGGTAGAAGAGGTTTCTAGCAAGCAAAGGTAACTATATATGAATTTCAAATAATACAGACCATAGTTACTGGTCTTTATTGTAGTGAGTGTTTTAAGATCATCTTATACCTTGTTTCCCCAAAAATAAGACATCCCCAGAAAATAAGCCCTAGCTTATTTTAGGAGGATGCTCGTATTCTAAGCCCTACTCCGAAAATAAGCCCTAGTCGCTAGTCAAACATTGATTTGCGGGATTCCATTCGCAACTAAGCTAATCTATGTTCGGGTAAGTTTCCCTGAACATAGATTCGCAGGATTTGCTTTGCAATTAAGCTAATCTGTGTTCTGGGAAATTTCCAGTTCACTAGAAAATCGACCTGTTTACTAGGGCATTAAATCCTGCTAATCTATGTTCTAGGGAACTTCACCCAAACGTAGACCTGCTTTCTACCACATGCTTGCTACCATTTCCCCCCGAAAATAAGCCCTAGTGTGTTTTTCAGGGGAAAAATTAATATAAGACCCTGTCTTATTTTCGGGGAAAGACGGTATTATGGTCCTACACTTATAACTGGCTTAGATTGAAGTGTTTTGCTGTATTTTATATTTTAGGGAGCAGTCTCTGTATTGGCTCGCTATTCAACAACTCCCCACAGACCCCATAGAAGATTTGTTTCCACTACTAAACGTCACACGCTGCTATAATGCCAACGGAGAAGTGGTTCGAGAGGAAGAGAATTCCTGTACTTATTATGAATGCCATTACCCTCCCTGCACAGTAATGGAGAAACAGGTATGTCATGCCACCGAAAATGGCATAAAGACTGCGTTCTTAAAGGACCACTCGACATCCCAGAAGAGATTTGTTTGCTAAAGTGCTTTATTGGTTCGGAGTATCCTGTTTTACCACAGTTTATAAAAGTGCAGATTTTCTATGACAAATTGGCACTTCTATTAATATATTCTCGAACAACCCTCTGGCAGTGAAACAGCCAGGGAGGTTTGCTGCCTCCTTCCATTGGCTCCCCTGAGCTAACGAAAGTGGCAGACGTGCTCTACTTAATTGTTGAGGTATGGAATAGATTAGCTATATCTGTATAGTTGTTGTGTGTGTTTTTATATATTTATATATATATATATATATATATATATATATATATATATATATATATATATTCTCTCGTTTGTTGTAGACTGCATCCTTGACTCATTCTGCAATTAATCTTTCTGTATTTCAGTTGCGTGAGTTTAATATTTGTGGCAGATGCCAATTAGCACGATACTGTGGTACCCAGTGCCAACAGAAAGACTGGCCCGCTCACAAAAAGCACTGCTGTGAAAAGATCCGGATTTTGCAGTACGAACCTGAGCCAGAGCGATGACTTCGGTGTTCCCCTCTCCCAGGATTTGTTTTGCACAGTTACAACAGACTGGTTACTAAAGCCAGCAGCACTGAGAAGAATTTCCTATCATGCTTGAGTGGACAATTGGGCTGTGATGAACAATGCTGCCTTGGACTGTGACTATCCGGAGTGGGCCTCACCATTCCAGTATCTAGGTTTTTCAATCATAAGGACTACTGTGAAAGTCTCCCCCCTTGGAGCTTCTAATTTATGTTACTGTTTGTAAAGTTCAATGTACAGGTTTTTTTTATATATGTTTTTGAGGTAACAGCGCAGTGATTTTGGTGTCCAAACATGAACCACTTATTGGCCTGTGTTTGCAGTCATAAATCAGCTGTTTTTATTTGCCTTTCCCACTTATTACACAACAGATAAAAAGCAACTGGACTTAGGAAGTGAGAATGATTGGGATTTGAAAATATTATGCATGAAAACGTTGTAAAACTGATAATAAAAAAAGAAAAATGGTTGTAACTTGTTTAATAGTGTGCATTTCCCTGACAGCATGTAAGTATAGTACTAACCCCTGCCTGAAGATCTTCTATGATAGTGTTACAAACATTCTGATAACTTCAGTAACTCCTTCTAAATGAGTAGGACATTTCATTCTATAGAGCCAGCTAACGCTAAATGAGTAGGACATTTCATTCTATAGAGACAGCTAACGCTAAATGAGTAGGACATTTCATTCTATAGAGCCCGGCTAACCCTAAATGAGTAGGACATTCCATTCTATAGAGCCCGGCTAACCCTAAATGAGTAGGACATTCTATAGAGCCTGGCTAACGCTAAATGAGTAGGACATTCTATAGAGCCTGGCTAACGCTAAATGAGTAGGACATTCTATAGAGCCCGGCTAACGCTAATTGAGTTGCTTTATTCTCTAGAGCACGGCTATCACTAAATGAGTAGGATGTTCCTTAGAGCCTGCCTAACACTAAATGTGTAGCATATTTTAGCTAGAGTCGGGTAATGCTAAATTAGTAGGCTATTCTGTAGTGCCTGTGTACTGCTAAATGAGTAGGATATTTTATGCTCTAGAGTGCATCTAACACTAAATGAGTAGGACATTCTAGAGAGTCTGGCTAATGCTATATATGAGTAGGACATTCTAGAGAGTCTGGCTAACGCTATATATGAGTAGAGCATTATATAGAGTCTGGCTAACGCTATATATGAGTAGAGCATTATATAGAGTCTGGCTAACGCTATATATAAGTAGAGCATTATATAGAATCTGGCTAACGCTATATATGAGTAGAGCGTTATATAGAGTCTGGCTAACGCTATATATAAGTAGAGCATTATATAGAATCTGGCTAACGCTATATATGAGTAGAGCATTATATAGAATCTGGCTAACGCTATATATGAGTAGAGCGTTATATAGAGTCTGGCTAACGCTATATATAAGTAGAGCATTATATAGAATCTGGCTAACGCTATATATAAGTAGAGCATTATATAGAATCTGGCTAACGCTATATATGAGTAGAGCATTATATAGAGTCTGGCTAACGCTATATATAAGTAGAGCATTATATAGAATCTGGCTAACGCTATATATGAGTAGAGCATTATATAGAATCTGGCTAACGCTATATATGAGTAGAGCATTATATAGAATCTGGCTAACGCTATATATGAGTAGAGCGTTATATAGAGTCTGGCTAACGCTATATATAAGTAGAGCATTATATAGAATCTGGCTAACGCTATATATAAGTAGAGCATTATATAGAGTCTGGCTAACGCTATATATGAGTAGAGCATTATATAGAGTCTGGCTAACGCTATATATGAGTAGAGCATTATATAGAGTCTGGCTAACGCTAAATGAGTCAGACATTCTATAGAGTCTGGCTAACGCTATATATGAGTAGAGCGTTATATAGAGTCTGGCTAACGCTATATATGAGTAGAGCATTATATAGAGTCTGGCTAACGCTAAATGAGTCAGACATTCTATAGAGTCTGGCTAACGCTATATATACGTAGAGCGTTATATAGAGTCTGGCTAACGCTATATATACGTAGAGCGTTATATAGAGTCTGGCTAACGCTATATATACGTAGAGCGTTATATAGAGTCTGGCTAACGCTATATATACGTAGAGCGTTATATAGAGTCTGGCTAACGCTATATATGAGTAGAGCGTTATATAGAGTCTGGCTAACGCTATATATATATGGGGTAGAGCTGCTATATAGAGTCTGGCTAACGCTTATATATGCAGGTTTTATATAGAGTCTGGCTAACGCTAAACAGCCGTGCGACATTCTATAGAGTCTGGCTAACGCTATATATAATGTGAGTTATATAGAGTCTCAGCTAACGCTATATACATAATGAGCGCTATATAGAGTCTGGCTAGTTTTGGCTATATAAGGCAGAGCGCTATATAGAGCTTCCCGGGCTAACCTTTCGCAAGGCAGAGCTGCCAGCAGAGTCTGGCTAACGCTATATATAAGTAGAGCATTATATAGAATCTGGCTAACGCTATATATAAGTAGAGCATTATATAGAGTCTGGCTAACGCTATATATGAGTAGAGCATTATATAGAGTCTGGCTAACGCTATATATGAGTAGAGCATTATATAGAGTCTGGCTAACGCTAAATGAGTCAGACATTCTATAGAGTCTGGCTAACGCTATATATGAGTAGAGCGTTATATAGAGTCTGGCTAACGCTATATATGAGTAGAGCATTATATAGAGTCTGGCTAACGCTAAATGAGTCAGACATTCTATAGAGTCTGGCTAACGCTATATATACGTAGAGCGTTATATAGAGTCTGGCTAACGCTATATATACGTAGAGCGTTATATAGAGTCTGGCTAACGCTATATATAAGTAGAGCGTTATATAGAGTCTGGCTAATGCTATATATGAGTAGAGCATTATATAGAGTCTGGCTAACGCTAAATGAGTCAGACATTCTATAGAGTCTGGCTAACGCTATATATACGTAGAGCGTTATATAGAGTCTGGCTAACGCTATATATAAGTAGAGCGTTATATAGAGTCTGGCTAACGCTATATAAGTAGAGCGTTATATAGAGTCTGGCTAACGCTATATATAAGTAGAGCGTTATATAGAGTCTATACACAAGAAGGTGTGAACAAGGTGGCGCTATTTATATTTTTAAATACAAAATAGATTTCTATTTAGCTGCTGTATACACTCTGTGGGGATACCTAATACCCCACCACAAAATAGTAATCACAGGAAAAACAAACTTGCAGTCTGGTTTGTGTTTATACCTCCCAGGCTGTCAGTTTGAATGCAGCACTATACCAGTGTGTGAGGTGCAATTCCCTCAATAAAGTGCATAAAACACCCTCTATATAACCCTTGTTTTAGAGGTATATAAAAAAGACAAAAGAGAGATACAAATAATTGTGCAGTATTGTATGTTGTAACAGGAAACAATCGACTAGTGGGTTGTGAGTGGAAATAAACTCACATTTTATAGAGCCTTTTCCTGTTTTCCAAATGGAGGCTCTCCAACCATCCAGATATGCTAACCCTAAACACTAAGGACAATCTCACACACAAAACTGGCATCTAATTCAAAGATTAATGCGATGTGGGCAAAAGATAGACTCACAATTGTGGTAGAACTGCAACTCCCATGACGCTTTGCCAGCATTAAAGGAAGATGATATGAGCTTTAAGAATAACTTAGCCATTTAAGGAACACTAAAGTGTCACTTTGTCCCCTCCGCTAGCAATTAAAGGGTTAAATTAAATTACCTGACACCACAGCCGATATCCCTTGGCGTTGGTCAGGCTTCTCTTCCATGATTAACACCTAGAGGCCATTTGATCTTCAATAAAATACCTCTACCTTCACCCTACAGTGTGACGCCTGTGGACTATATTTATCCTACACCTCTGATGTCAGTTGATGGGAGGGGGACACACTTAGTGTGAGTGTGTGGCAAGCACTGCGCATGCATTACACCATCCCTATAGTAAAGCATTGAACCAGCACCGCGCATGCATTATACCATCCCTATAGGAAAGCATTGAACCAGCACCGCGCATGCATTACGCCAACCCTATAGGAAAGCATTGAACCAGCACCGCGCATGCATTACGCCAACCCTATAGGAAAGCATTGAACCAGCACCGCGCATGCATTACGCCATCCCTATAGGAAAGCATTGAACCAGCACCGCGCATGCATTACGCCATCCCTATAGGAAGGCATTGGACCAGCACCGCGCATGCATTACGCCATCCCTATAGGAAGGCATTGGACCAGCACCGCGCATGCATTACGCCATCCCTATAGGAAAGCATTGGACCAGCCCCGCGCATGCATTACGCCATCCCTATAGGAAAGCATTGGACCAGCCCCGCGCATGCATTACGCCATCCCTATAGGAAAGCATTGGACCAGCCCCGCGCATGCATTACGCCATCCCTATAGGAAAGCATTGGACCAGCCCCGCGCATGCATTACGCCATCCCTATAGGAAAGCATTGGACCAGCCCCGCGCATGCATTACGCCATCCCTAGAGGAAAGCATTGGACCAGCACCGCGCATGCATTACGCCATCCCTATAGGAAAGCATTGGACCAGCCCCGCGCATGCATTACGCCATCCCTATAGGAAAGCATTGGACCAGCCCCGCGCATGCATTACGCCATCCCTAGAGGAAAGCATTGGACCAGCCCCGCGCATGCATTACGCCATCCCTAGAGGAAAGCATTGGACCAGCACCGCGCATGCATTACACCATCCCTATAGGAAAGCATTGAACCAGCACCGCGCATGCATTATACCATCCCTATAGGAAAGCATTGGATCAGCACCGCGCATGCATTACACCATCCCTATAGGAAAGCATTGAACCAGCACCGCGCATGCATTACACCATCCCTATAGGAAAGCATTGGATTAGCGTGGTCACTAGGAGACAGCCTCTAGAGGCAGGCTTCACCCGGCAATGTACACTGTGCCC